TTGAGTTATGCTTTCAGAGACATGTAGATGGAGAGAGAAAGGGAGAGAGAAAAAAGGGCCAGGGGAGGAGGGGGGTGGGATATAGAGGGATGGAGAGAGAAGGAGAAAAGGGATAGAGAGTTAAATCTTCAAAGTAAATATAATTGGTTGTTATTAAATCTTTAGTTTGTTTCTTTTGTGTTCTAATTTTTTCAATCAGAAATACTTCGTACTTTAAAATGCATGATATATACAATTTCAGACAAGGGAGGAAAAGAGATTGTTAGAGAGAAAGATTGCAAGAGATAGAGTGAGAGAGAGAATGATAGGGAGGGACATAGGGAGAGAGAGAGTTAAGATTTTCAGGTATATATATTTGATTGATATAAAAGACTAAGGTAAACCAGAAGAATATGAAGTCTCAGAGAACAAAGAAGATGAATGTGATGAAGAAGAAAAAGAAAAAGCATAAGAGGAAGATGATGAGGAGAAGATGTAGAAAACACGAAGAAGAAGGCGTGACAAAGAAAAACCTGAAGAATAAGAAGTAAGAGAAGACATAGAGAATAAAGAGGAGAAGGAAGAAGAAATACTTGAAGAAGATAAAAAAAATTAAGGAAAAGACGACAAAGAAAAAAATCAAAAGGTAAATTAGAGAAAAATAAAAGAAGATGGTGAAACGATTATAAACTCATGTTTGTCTTAGTTCAGTTGGTTTGTGTGTTTCATACATTTATTTACTATTACATTTTGGATCTTTAATCTTGGATCGTGTTTACTCTTTTGGGTTTGCTTTATTTTTCTTTATATATGTCTCAAATAGTTGTTAAATTTTATTCGGTTTACAACATAATATTTTGTTTCATATTTTTTGAATAATGGTTGTTTTCTAGGTGCTCTTACGATTTGTTGTAAATTATTTGCTCTGTTTTAAAGTTTCTTACATATCATGTAATTTTTCCTGTAAAGTTTATGCATTATTCTCACCAAATTAAATATTTACTAGCGAATCAATTTCTAACTATACATTTATCTATATGATTGCGAAGAGTGTTGAAAATCTCTTGATCATAAACTCTATGATCATGATCATCAGAGAGTTTTTGACGATGAATTTTATACAATTAAAAAAGATATTTTTTAATGATTTTAATACCACATAATCAGTTTGACAAAGTTTTGAAACCCCACAACCCGCGCAAGGTCTAAAAGATATTGGTCAGTTCGACAAATATTGTAGTCACTGATTAGGAAAGGTTACTTGAAAGTCAAGTAACCGTATAAGATAGATGTGTCGTATGAATTTGTAAAATTATAGATGAATCATGACCTAAAAGATACGGCAGGGTTAATCATTTAAGAAGTGAACGAATTAACGAAAACTGATTAGTCATGGCTATAGAGTTAAATAAAATTAGGGGTTTGTTTGATCAAAATTACAAATCTGATACTTGTGAATCAAGTAAAAGGCTACAAACTCGATTTCTTTGTTTTACATATTAATCGGCTCTCATGTACGAAGCTCGAGGCATATTTTAATTTGGTTTTTTTTTTGCGGTACATAAATTTTTTTGTGCTGTTTTGTTTTGATAATCAACTATTTAATAAGAAAGCAGAAACCGAAAGTTTATGGACTGAGTTGTTCTGTTGAGTAAAAATCTTATCTTCTTGTTTTATTAGATCATAGTCAATGTATTAAGCCTTTAAATTTTTTGTTTTAAGGGCAGTCTCATGATGATGAAAATATTGAAGTCAAAATTTGTTATTTATTAAATTGACTCTAAACTTGTACAACAGCCAGAGAAATACGAAAAACTACATAAGACAAATTGTAAAGGAAACAATGAAGCAAAAGAGAGTACTAATATTAACTAATAAAACTAGTTGAGTAACTAGAGAAAGTCAATTAATACAAGTAGAAAGATTAAAAAGAAGCCAGCATGCTAGCTTGATCTGGAGATGTTTAGTGATGAGCCCTGAAACTGCGTAACCACCTTATGAAACGTTGAATAAGTGACAACTTGGGAACATTGGGCACTTCAGGTGCGACCACTACTCGTAGCTTAAGGCCAGCCTCGCAGTGACCTGTCTCTGAGCTGATGAAATAATGGACTCCTGGTTTGGTGAGCTTGACTAGATCTTGTCCTGTCTTGTGAACGGCTATAGGAGAAGTCGGGTCGCAGAATTTGAACTCAAGATCACCGCTGATTTCTAAAACATCATTGACTTCGTTTCCGTATTCGAAAAGAAGACTGTCACCAACATGAAACTGTTTCTCAATACTCCACTTATAATAGAAGTCACTGTCATAAACCCTTGCTCCGCTCCCCGGTTCGGACCGGTTAAAGACAGAGACCGGCCCAATTGACCCCGATTTACGATGGTCTTAGCCGAAATGGGCCTGACCTGACAGCGCGGCCCATGAGAAAGAAGTCCAGCAACAAGAGGCGGTGAGAGCTGAACGAGAAGCCCTAGAACATCTCCTCGCTTATGTACTATAAATAGTAGAATTGTTACTGTAGAAGGGATCTTTTCGGACCCGGAGAATAGAGACCTGAATATTGTATCGAGTTCGTCGAGAGACCTCCGAACTGAACTGAACGAACTGTAATTGAGAACTTAATAAAATTTAATCAACTTAATCTTCTCCGAACTCGAATTACCGAACCGACCCTTGAATAGTTGAGAACCACAATCAACAATTGGCGCCCACCGTGGGGCCGATTCGGTAATCGACCTCGAAGACATGACGACCGATGGTGGACAATCGATCTCAATCCAGGTCGGGAGTCCGACGACCCGTGCAGACGGCAGACAACCGACCTCAGTCCAGGTCGAGAGTCAAATGACATGTGCAGACAGCCCCGTCCAGTTCGGAGGACACATAGGAGAAGACGACCGTAGTCCCGTGCGACCTCAAACTGGAACGCAAGAGATTAGAGCAGAGCCGAGCTCAAGCACTCACCAGGCTTCACCAGCTGCCTTCGATCCAACTGCACTCATGAACGCCTTCGCTGCTCAGATGCAGGAGCTAGTCCGCAGCAATGATGCCAAATTCGCGACTCTCACCGCGTAGATCTCTAGCCTGCAACAGGAAAGCCCGCTCCGACGAAAAAACCTCATCAGCGATTTCCAAGGAGAGCGAGACCCGCAGTGCACGGTGGCGCGATCGGTAATACAGCAACAGCAACAGTCCGAGAGCCCGTCCCAGCACATACGAGCTCAACCAACAGCGCGCGATCTGGAAATCGAACGGATGCAGGCCCAACTGCGAGAGATCAGTTCCAAATTTCACCAAGCCACCAGTTCGGCACCTGAGATCGACCGCGTAATCCAGGAAGCACAGAAAACACCGTTCACTTCCCGGGATCACCAACGTCCCCGTCCCTAACCTGGAAAAGTTTAAACTGCGTTCGTACGAAAGGAACTCAGACCCGAGGCATTTCCTTACCTCATTCGGCATCGTGATCAACCGATTGAAGTTCACCTCGGCCGAGCAGAAAGACGCGATTCAATGCCAGCTGTTCGTCGAGCACCTCGAAGGCATAGCTTTGGATTGGTTCTCAAGATTGGAAGCCGACTCCATTGATAACTACAAGGAGCTCTCGACTAAGTTCGCAAAACATTTTTCGATGTTCATTGGGCAGAAAACCCGTAACTCCTAGCTGTGGGAGATATCGCAGGGCGAAAACGAATCACTCCGAGACTTCATGGCGCGTTTCAAGCAGATCGTGGTGCACTGCACGGTGGACGACGAAGCCGCCCTTGAAGCTTTATACCAGAAAACATGGTACAAGTCACCCTTCCACAAAGAGCTTCGCAGGAACAGACCGCTCACCCTCGAGGACGCGCTTCATAAATCCAACATCTTCATCGCGGAAGAAGAAGAAGAGGCCGCCAAGGATCGGCAGTATTCAACGACAAAGCCCGGCCAGACACCGACCCCGAAAGAGAGCTCAGAAACGAAAGTCCAGACCGGAAAACCGCGCGGAGTGATTAACCAGGCAGGGCCGTCAAACCAAAGGACAGGACGTCCACCGAAATCCTGGAACACATGGCATAATGACGATGACACACCGCTAAGTGAACGCTTTTGCGAGTATCACGAGCGATATGGGCATAGCACAGAGGAATGCCGACATCTGAGGGACTTCTTACTTCAACAGTTTCGCAAGGGCGAGATCGACATCGCAGACTTAGCTAAACCGAGGCCCCGGCGGCCGAACCCGCGACCAAACAAACCCGGCAATCAAGAAGCTGCTAAGGCAGCCGACTCCGATGAAAAACAGGTCGCTCCCCTTAAACGAGACCGCGAAGCACCTAACAGAGAGACGAACGTCCCCAAAACCAGGAAGAAGGTCAATATGATTATGGGAGCCCTCGAATCATGCAATTACTCCGTCCGAGCCCTCAAAGAATACAGTCGGCAAGCGTCGACTTCGCAACCCCAGGCAACGGTCACAACCGTACCATTGTTATTCACCGAAGCCGATCTGCGGGGGGTACATATGCCTCATAACGATTGCCTCGTCGTGGAGCTTCAGCTCGGAGACGTCGAGGTGAGCAGGATCTTAGTCGACACGGGGAGTTCGGTAAACGTCATATTCAAGGAAACACTCAAGAATATGGACTTTCCGGACTCCGAGATCAAGCCTTATATGGAATCATTGACCGGGTTCACCGGAGAGAAAACAAGGACAGTAGGAACGGTGAAGATACCCATTTATGTCGGCGGGTCAGCCCGAATGATTCAAATTCCTAGTCCTCAACAAACCGGCAATATATAATGCGATTTTGGGGACGCCATGGCTGTTCGACATGAAAGCCGTCGCTTCAACGTTCCATCAGTGCGTTAAGTTCCCGACCCCGTCAGGGATTTTCACCCTCAAAGGAAGCCAGACCGCGTCCCGATTTTGCCATCTCACCGAATGCAAACTCAGTCTCGCACGAACATGCGTCATCAGTCCCTTTCAGGAAGATCGTGCGGCCGCAGTAAGCCAGTTCGGTCCACCCAAACAAAGCCAAGTCGACCAAGTCTGCATCGATCCGACAGATCCAGAAAATGCGTCGGCATAGGGGCCGAACTCGACAATAGTATTCGGGAAGCACTCATCAGTTTCCTCCAGAAGAACGTCTCCACATTCGCATGGAATATCAGCGACATGCCCGGAATCAATCCAGACATCACCTGGCATGAGCTAAATATTGTCCTACGTACAAGCCTATCAAACAGAAGAGGCGCAAGCTAGGATCCGAGAAAGCGCAAGCGGTTAACGATGAGGTCGAAAAATTACTCAAAGCCGGTTCGATCACCGAAGTTCGATACCCGGACTGGCTAGCAAACCCGGTAGTCGTGAAGAAAAAGAATGGAAAGTGGACGATCTGCGTCGACTTCACCGACCTGAACAAAGCTTGCCCCAAAGATAGTTTCCCACTGCCACACATTGATCGGTTGGTAGAGGCAACCGCCGGCAACGAACTGCTATCTTTCATGGACGCCTTCTCGGGGTATAACCAAATCCTAATGCATCCGGATGACCGGGAAAAGACTTCGTTCATCACGGATCGAGGAATCTACTGCTATAAGGTCATGCCGTTCGGTCTCAAGAACGCGGGAGCCACGTATTAGAGACTCGTGAACCGCATGTTCGCCAGTCAGCTCGGGAAAACGATGGAAGTGTACATTGACGACATGCTGGTTAAATCCCTGTACGCTAAAGACCACATATCTCACCTAGCAACGTGTTTCGACATTTTGAACGAGTACGGGATGAAACTCAACCCCGCCAAATGCACCTTCGGCGTAACGGCGGGCGAGTTCCTGGGATACATCGTCATCGAGCGCGGCATCAAGGCCAACCCAAAGCAGATATCCGCAGTTCTAGACCTACCTTCCCCGACTTCAAAAAGGAAAGTGCAAAAACTCACAGGCCGAATTGCCGCACTAAACAGATTTATCTCCAGGTCGACGGATAAGTGCCTGCCATTCTACCAATTATTACGAGGTAACAAGCATCATATTTGGAGCGCCGAGTGCGAAGACGCCTTCAAGCAGCTGAAAACGTATCTCTCGACGCCCCCCATCCTAGCTAAACCCGAGAACGGCGAGATGCTATTCTTATACATCGCAATTTCCGTATCGGCGGTTAGCAATGTCCTAGTCCGTGAAGACAGAGGGGAACAGCGTCCCATATTCTATGTCAGCAAATCGCTAAGTGACGCTGAGGCCAGATATCCAACTTTAGAAAAATTGGCGCTTGCAGTGGTGACTTCTTCTCGGAAGCTTCGGCCATATTTCCAGTGTCATTCAATCAAAGTCTTGACCGACCAGCCGCTCCGAACCATTCTACACAGTCCAAGCCAATCAGGTCGCCTCGCAAAATGGGCCATTGAACTAAGCGAATACGATATAGAATACAAGAATCGAACCAGCGCGAAATCCCAAGTACTCGCCGATTTTCTGATCGAACTCCCTAAAGAGTTCGTCGTCGAACAGCCGCCCCGTGAACTATGGATTCTGCATGTAGACCGATCGTCATCACACCGGGGATCAGGTATCGGAATCCGCCTAAAGTCTCCTAGCGGCGAGATCCTCGAACAGTCGTTCCGCCTCGAGTTCCCAGCATCTAACAATGAATCTGAGTACGAAGCTCTACTTGCCAGACTGCGATTGGCTAACGAGCTCGGCGTACGACATCTTCACGCTTTCTGTGATTCGCACCTCGTCGCAAGTCAATTAAATGGGGAATACTCGACCAAAAACGAACGAATGGACGCGTACCTAACAACGACTAAGGCACTCATCGCGAAGTTTGAAACGTTCGAACTCACCAAAATCCCTCGCGGCGAGAACTCGTCCGCCGACGCATTAGCCGCCCTAGCTTCCAGTTCCGACCCGCATATGAAGAGAAAAATCCCGGTCGAAAGTATCTCAGAACCAAGCATCAGAACCGCGCCAAAATGCAATGTTGCCACCCGACGACGGAACTACGACGACAATCCGACCTCGTCGAATACGCAGAACAGGAATTCAACACGGGCAGACAAGAGCACCGAGTGCGAAGACGCCTTCAAGCAGCTGAAAACGTATCTCTCGACGCCCCCATCCTAGCTAAACCCGAGAACGGCGAGATGCTATTCTTATACATCGCAATTTCCGTATCGGCGGTTAGCAATGTCCTAGTCCGTGAAGACAGAGGGGAACAGCGTCCCATATTCTATGTCAGCAAATCGCTAAGTGACGCTGAGGCCAGATATCCAACTTTAGAAAAATTGGCGCTTGCAGTGGTGACTTCTTCTCGGAAGCTTCGGCCAT